CCGTTTCTTACTGTTTTCTTCTTCTTCTTCTTCTTCTTCTTCTTCTTCTTCTTCTTCTTCTTCTTCTTCTTCTTCTTCTTCTTCTTCTTTTTCTTCTTCTTCTTCTTCTTCTTCTTCTTCTTCTTTTTCTTTTTCTTTTTTTTTTTTTTTTTTTTTTTTTTTTTTTTTTTCTTTTTTCTTCTTCTTCTTCTTCTTCTTCTTCTTCTTCTTCTTCTTCTTCTTCTTCTTCTTCTTCTTCTTCTTCTTCTTCTTCTTCTTCTTCTTCTTCTTCTTCTTCTTCTTCTTCTTCTTCTTCTTCTTCTTCCTTGTGCATCTACTTTGCGTAAGCGAGCTTGCGCTGTTTTTCCCCCGACCGAATATTCACTTGGACGTAAAAACCATTTTGTGTTATTTCCACTTACACAGGAATGAAGCAATTGTAGGTGACCTGTTTGTGATGATGTTGGAAGCTTTACTATCTATCTGTAAATGCCTGAGAAAAATATGGGTTCCATCCTTCTGCGAATATATGTGTTTTCCCTCAGTCCCTCAAAGATCATCGACGGTTGGTTAAGAATGTACAGGGAAGCTATCACTGTTGCTATTTACTCCGTCCTATTTCTGCTACTGCCAAACCCACTTCTTTCATTGTCTTCTTTCTTGCAATCTTTGTTTCTTTGCTTTTCTTTCTGTACTTTCGATCTTTCCCTGGATATTCCCTTTTTAATTATATCCACTTTCTTTATTTTCTTTTCTCACTTCTTTTGTCGTCTCACGTTTTTACTCCCATGATTGAATTCTCGTCGTATCACTTTCTTTTTCTTCTTTGCTATATGTCTATGCTTTCTTTCTTTTCACCGTCGATTTGTTTAAAAATATCTATTTCTTTTTGTTTCTATTTCTGCTCTTCTTGAAAACCCTACTTCCAAGCTTGAACACAGAGCACATATTTTAGGGGCCAGTATTTCCAAGCTTTTAAGATAAAGACTTTCCGAGCCAATATTTCTAAGCTTTTACGATAGAGTAAAGATTTTGGCTGCCAATATTTCCCAATTTTTAAAACAGCGTAGAAAGTTTCCAGACCAGTATTTCCAAGCTTTTAAGATAAAGATTTTCCGGCCGATGTTTCCAAGCTTTTAAAATAGAGTAAAGATTTTTCGGCCGATATTTCCAAGCTTTTAAGAAAAAGTAAAATTTTTTGGGGGGGCCATATTTACACATTTTTAAAACAGCGTAAAGATTTTCAGCCCAGTAATTCCTAGCAGTCTTGACAGGAGCTCAGCGTGTCCTCAGTGATGGGGTAGGCAGAAAAGCCACATAGCTCCCAGATTTACGGTATTTACATTGGAATCAAGGCCGAGTCTAAGGGTTAACAACTCATGGCTTCTGGATACTAAAAAAAAAAAAAGAAAGAACAATGCAGTGAATGGCAGAGTCGTATATATATTAATTATGTGGACTTTGAGAAAGCTTTTGACAGCGTCCATAGAGACGGTCTATGGAAAATTTTACGACATTATGGAATTCCAGAAAAAAATAGTCAACATAATTGCACTCTTCTATAAAGATTTTTCCTGCAGTATGAAAAATTACAATACATCTTTCCCAGTAAAGACAGGTGTGAGACATGGATGTGTTATGTTATCTCTCCTCTTCAACCTTGTGATTGTTTGGATACTAAAGAACACAGCAGACAGGACATTGAGAGGCATACGATGGACTCCATTTACTATGCTTGAGGACCTTGATTTTGCAGATGATATAGCACTCCTATCACATAAACATGAACACATACAAGCGAAAAGTAACAGACTACACAGCACAGCAGAAATGGAGGGACTGAAAATTAATACAAAGAAAACTAAGATCATGACAAGCAGTCCAAAGCAACAACTAGTGACTATAAATAACCAAACTCTTGAAAATGTAGAACATTTCACATATCTTGGCAGTGTGGTGTCCCTACCGGGAGGGACCGAATAGGACATACAGTCACGTCTGAACAAATCGAGAGTTGCTTTTGGGAGGATGAGGCAAAACCAACAATTACTGCAAAGGAACGAAACTCCGACTCCACAAGAGCATCATTTTGCCAGTTCTCTTTGGAGCGGAATGCTGGAGAATGACCAAAAAGGATGCACACAAGCTGTCCACCTCCCACCACACATGTCTACTTAGAATTATCAAAATTTTCTGGCCAAATAAAATCTCAAACATTAAACTACTTCAAGTCACAAACCAAGAAACTTTAGACAGTATGATAACCAAGAGAAGATGGAAATGGCTTAGTCACGTTATGAGAATGAATCCTGATATACCTGCCAAAACAGCTCTCACATGGACACCAGAGGGAAAGAGAAAACAGGGGCGCCCAAAAACAACATGGAGACGAACGATGGAAAGTGACCTGAGTGCGGCATCTTTGACATGGAAAACTGCACTGAATATTGCACAGGACAGGAAAGCATGGAAAGTCTTCTCTGAAGCCTCATGTGCCACTAGTCATAACGAGAACTGATGATGATGATAATGAAGTGGCGGGATAAGCTCACAAACACTAAGGTATCGGAAAGAGCAAGTATTACACCAGTCTTCTCAATGTTCAGACTTCGAAGGCTCAGGTGACTGGGTCACACCTGGGGACTGCAGGATGGCAGTCCCTAAGGACATCTTTTATGGTGAATTTATAGTGAAATGGTGACGGGTAGAAGATGTCGAGGCCGACCTCTACTACGATATAAAGACATTTGCAAGTGGAACGTGAATGAACGATACAGGCATTGAGGTGCTCATGGGAACAAAATGCCATGCATGTTGTTGTGTGAAGGGGGCAAATCAGAAAGGGAATTAGCGTGAAGGAAGAAATGAATGCAGAAAGGATGAGAGCTGAGCGTCTGAGAAGAGACAGACTTAACACAAATACTGACAACAATGGTTCTGAAATTCCATGCTATAATTGTGGAAGACTTTTCTTAACGTGGGTGGGTCTTGTTAGTCACACTCATCATCGCCATGGGCTGTGAGTCCTATGCCTTCTCATAGCGAAATATAATACCTTCGTCTGGCAAGAATGAAAGGTGCTAATCAATCAGTCAATCAATCAATCAATCTATCAATCATTTTCATTTGTTATTTTGAAGAGTGCGCTATCAGCTAGGCTGGTAGATCGTATTTCCTCTCCAGGATTAGACTCTGCAAAATTAACAGCTCAAGGCTAAAAATCAGATACCAATCACGGAAGTCCCGTTCAAGCGCATATTAGTAATACTGAGACCCCCCCCCCCCACCCTTCTTTTCTCTTCCCTTTTACACCCCCCCCCCCCCCACCCACTTAATGGTTCGACAGTAACCTGAAGTCCCCATTAACAAAATGCTAGCCACCTCTGAAATAGTCCCTGCAGGTCTCATTATACGTCAAGCAAATAAGGATTTAGAAAACATACGGTTTATGTCAAACTAATGAAACAAATCATTGCCACGTCTCTGTATGACAACACTGGGTATCGAACAAATGTGGCAATAATTAAATAGGAAATAAGGGGGTGGGATAGAGAGAAGAGAGAGAGAGAGAGAGAGAGAGAGAGAGAGAGAGAGAGAGAGAGAGAGAGAGAGAGAGAGAGAGAGAGAGAGAGAGAGAGAGAGAGAGAGAGAGAGAGAGAGAGAGAGAGAGAGAGAATAGCAATGATTAGGAAAGCAGAGATTAAAAGCAACAGCAGATTAGGAACCAAGAGTAAGACAGACAGAGAGCATATCAGGGAAACGGAAATGAGGTGGCAGACTGAAAACACACTGAATATTTTCTAAAAACGTCTTCATCCCTGGTGGCGGGGCAGGATAAGTACCAACAGCGTGGAATGTTAAAACTGAAACATCTGGACACCATAATGTTCTACCGTCTCTTATAGATACAAATTGCTACAAACGAAAAGCAAGCTTGACCTTTCTAGCGACAAAGATTTGCCCAGGCTGGTCTACTGACAGGCGCTACCATCCTTCAGGGCGAGGTGGATTTCATGCATCTTACCCTCACAAGGTGAAACCTTTTTCTTTGCTATTCATCAATGTCCGAACATTTCTTAAATGGTTTGAAAAAATGAGTCCAGTTATATGCGAGGCATACTTATTATATATATATATATATATATATATATATATATATATATATATATATATATATATATATATATATATATATATATATATATGTATGTATGTATACATGTATGACATCACCCATCTTGTGCCGATTGGTCAATAAAAATATAGGTCTAGCCCTATATGCCCTTTACGCCTAAAGACGTGGAAAAGGATCCTTTACTTTACTTTTACTTATACATGTATGTGTTAATATATATATATATATATATATATATATATATATATATATATATATATATATATATATATATATGTGTGTGTGTATGTGTGTGTGTGTGTGCGTTTTAGCAAATAGAAGTGTGTTTTATCCTTGTCATTAATATGCACTAATCAGTCCTAAATAATTATTGTTTGAAGACAATTATATATTTATAATTACTTTATAAGACATAATTTGGAATGTTTGCTCCCCCCCCCCCCCCTCCTCCTCCCCCTCTTCTTCTTCTTCTTCTTCTTCTTCTTCTTCTTCTTCTTCTTCTTCTTCTTCTTCTTCTTCTTCTTCTTCTTCTTCTTCTTCTTCTTCTTCTTTTTCTTCTTTCTTCTTCTTCTTTCTTTTCTTTCTGTTTCTGCATCTTCTTCGTCTTCTACTTCTTGTCCTCATCCTCCTCTTCCTTCTTCGTCATCATCGTTATCTTTGTTTTATTCGTCAACGCCACGGCCAACATCATCACCACCAGATGCAGCAATATTGAGACTACGGTTCTTGACAGAACAAATAGGGATCTGCCGACATAATATATCGAGAACACTAAAGTTGACAAAGAGCAGCCTTTCGGCCCACTGTGATGGGGACGACGATTTGCACGGGATCTGCTATGTGAGAATAACATACACTATTATAGTACTAAATTATATAGACTAACCTGTAATGAATATCAGTTGACTGCATGTCCTCGGAACCTTTGACCCAGCCTTTGACATAAATGTCGGACATTTTCTCTCCCGTAAAGAAAGCGTCATCTTCCAACACCACGTCATCCGTGTTCCAGATAATACAGCGCAGCTCGTAGCTGTCGAAACCAGTCATATAGTTACACCTTCCTTATACCTCAGAGTTCATAGCCGTGGATAACAGTTACACACATTATACCTGAGAGTTCATAGCCGTAGATAACAGTTACACACATTATAATTCAGAGTTCATTGCTGTATACAAGAGTCATGGAGTTACAAATATTATATGTCAGAGTTCATAGCCCTAGACACCAGTCACAGTTACACACAGTTACAAGGTTAAACACATTATACCTGAGAGTTTACAGCTGTAGACACTAGTCACACAGTTGCACCTTCATTATACCTGAGAGTTTACAGCTGTAGACACCAGTCACACAGTTGCACCTTCATTATACCTGAGAGTTTATAACTGTAGATACCAGTCACACAGTTGCACCTTCATTACACCTGAGAGTTCACAGCTGTAGACACTAGTCACACAGTTGCACCTTCATTATACCTGAGAGTTTATAACTGTAGATACCAGTCACACAGTTGCACCTTCATTACACCTGAGAGTTCACAGCTGTAGACACTAGTCACACAGTTGCACCTTCATTATACCTGAGAGTTCACAGCTGTAGACACTAGTCACACAGTTGCACATTCATTACACCTGAGAGTTCACAGCTGTAGACACCAGTCACACAGTTGCACCTTCATTATACCTGAGAGTTCACAGCTGTAGACACCAGTCACACAGTTGCACCTTCATTATACCTGAGAGTTTATAGCTGTAGACACCAGTCACACAGTTACACCTTCATTATACCTGAGAGTTTATAGCTGTAGACACCAGTCACACAGTTGCACCTTCATTATACCTGAGAGTTCACAGCTGTAGACACTAGTCACACAGTTGCACCTTCATTATACCTGAGAGTTTATAGCTGTAGATACCAGTCACACAGTTACACCTTCATTATACCTGAGAGTTTATAGCTGTAGATACCAGTCACGAAGTTACAACTTTATTATACCTGAGAGTTTATAGCTGTAGATACCAGTCACCAAGTTACACCTTCATTATACCTGAGAGTTCACAGCTGTAGATACCAGACACGAAGTTACAACTTCATTATACCTGAGAGTTTATAGCTGTAGATACCAGACACGAAGTTACAACTTCATTATACCTGAGAGTTCACAGCTGTAGATACCAGTCACACAGTTGCACCTTCATTACACCTGAGAGTTCACAGCTGTAGATACCAGACACGAAGTTACAACTTCATTATACCTGAGAGTTTATAGCTGTAGACACCAGTCACACAGTTGCACCTTCATTACACCTGAGAGTTCACAGCTGTAGACACCAGTCACACAGTTGCACCTTCATTACACCTGAGAGTTCACAGCTGTAGATACCAGTCACACAGTTGCACCTTTATTATACCTGAGAGTTTATAGCTGTAGATACTAGTCACGAAGTTACACCTTTATTGTACCTGAGAGTTTATAGCTGTAGATACCAGTCACCAAGTTACACCATCATTATACCTGAGAGTTTATAGCTGTAGATACCAGTCACACAGTTACACCTTCCTTATACCTGAGAGTTTATAGCTGTAGATACCAGTCACAGAGTTACACCTTCCTTATACCCGAGAGTTCACAGCTGTAGATACCAGACACAAAGTTACACCTTCCTTATACCTGAGAGTTTATAGCTGTAGATACCAGTCACCAAGTTACACCATCATTATACCTGAGAGTTCACAGCTGTAGATACCAGTCACAAAGTTACACCTTCCTTATACCTGAGAGTTTATAGCTGTAGATACCAGTCACAAAGTTACACCTTCATTATACCTGAGAGTTTATAGCTGTAGATACCAGTCACACAGTTGGAAATATTATACGTCAGAGTTCATAGCAGTAGACATCAGTCAGTGTTACTTACACACACTGTACATCATAGTTTACAGCTGAGGACATTAGTCACACAGTTACATAGGTTATACTTCAGAGCTGGCAGCTGAAGACACCAGTCACATACATGTAAGTAGAGCTCTCGTGATATCTTTTGATCTAATGGGTATATTGTGCTAGACTCAATATTTGATAGACCAAGGGGTCTAGTTGATACAGATTTATACGATCACTTGCATGTGTGCTTGCCGTTCTCTTTAATCTGCAGGGATGATACTCATGTATTCTCTACCATCCTCCAATGCAGGTGAAACTATTGAATTTCTTGTCCTCAAAAGTGTTTGGCGTATCGTGTGGCGGTTTTCAGCAGGTTGTGATATCTACTACTTTCGGTCAACACATCAGGCTTCAGCAAATCCTTAATTAGCCTCCTTTTACGACATGCTTGTGAAGGGACGGCGGATTATTTATTTGTTGTTCCCTTCAAATCTGGCTCCCTGAGGATCTCAGGCTATTTTGTGATTGTCCTAGAAAGCCCATCTGCAGGTTGAGTCAGACATCTCGTTAATTGTTTCATTGCAATATTTAATCACATGACGTGATGTGATTTTGGCTACACAAATAATAATAAAAATAATAATAATAATATGCTGTAAGGACATACTTGTAATAATATATGTGAAATAATATGACAAGTCGAGGAGAACCACGCCTGGGTTATTGTGTGGAGAATAAACAATTTGTTGGGAGCATTCAGTTCTCCAGAAAATATTTCGGGTTTAAAAGAAAAAAAAAGGGGGGAGGGGGTGGGGGTGGTGAGTGGAGAGAGGGGGGAGCGCTGTAAAGGATCTAAGCCCTAAGTTCCGGCTTGTATAAAGCTGTTTAAAAGCCAATAAAGACATTCTTCATTTTGTTCCTTCACTGTTCGGACCAGCCCTTTCTTTCATATCATGTCAAAAATGAACATGTGTTGGACGAACTCACCTTCTTGGTTTCCTGGGTGAGATGTCTACTGGAGGTCCAGGGGGAGGCATATCCATGGGAAACATGTCCACAAACATTTCAATCTTGCCCTGGTGGCGAAAAGGTCAGACTTGACAACACACACACACACAAAGTGTTTAAACATTTACCAGCCCTTGTTCATTTTGTTTTAATGTGAAAAAGGCCTTGCATTGAGCGGATGGAGAGTCACTCGTTTCGTATGCCCACATCATTGCAACTACAACACCCTATCAAACCTACTATCTACTATAACCCAAACGCTGGATGATCGTATAATCATACGACAGTAGAAAAAGTAAATGGTAGAAACATCATGAACATTGGTACATGGAATGTCAGAACACAAAACGGAAAACTGGATAACATCAAGATGGAAATGAAGAGAATGAACATCAACATACTAGGAATTAGTGAAATGCGATGGCCAGGAGCAGGGGAAAAGTATTCAGATCAGCACAGAATTATCTACTCGGGAGGGAAAGAATATAGCAAGGGAGTTGGTATTATTTTGGATCCAAAGAACTCAAAAACTGTTAAAGGATTTTGGACAATATCAGATAGAGTACTATTAGTAAAACTTCGCGGCAGACCGTTTGACATCAACTTAGTACAGATTTATGCCCCAACAGCAGATAGTTCAGAGGAAGACATTGACGCATTTTATGATGAGTTAGACATGGCTGTTGATCAATGCAAAAATTGTGAAGTAACAATGGTACTTGGAGATTTCAACGCAAAAGTAGGAAGTGAAAAAGTGTACGGAATAACGGGTGGATATGGACTAGGAGAAAAGAATGTGAGAGGTGACAGATTAATAGCATGGGCTGAGTCGCGCAGCATGATATTAGGTAACACCTGGTTTAAACACCATCCTCGAAGATTGTGGACTTGGAAAAGTCCTGGTGATAATGTCCGCAATCAGATTGATTATATTTTGATTTCAAGAAGATTTCAGAGCAGCTTAGTTGGAGCTAAAACTAGACCAGGGGCAGACTGCTTTAGTGACCATGTTCCAGTTGTAGGAAAAATTAGAATAAAACTAAAGAACATTAGAAAAACACCACAGAACATCAAGTTAAATTTAGGAATTCTTAGAACGGATAAAAGAAATTAAGGAACAGTACAACGTCACTGTACAAAACCGGTATAATGCAATGGAAATTATACAAACAATTGATGAACAGTGGGATATGTTGCGTGAGTCAATTCAGCAGACATCAAAAGAGACAATCCCACCAACCCATACAGTTGCAAAAAAGAAATGGATGTCAACCGAAATTCTGCAGTTGATGGATGAAAGAAGGAAGAAAAAGAATGATAAAGAAGAATACTCTAGAATACAAAAAGAAATAGTGAACAAATGCAAAGTGGCTAAAGAAGCCTGGCTGAATCAAATGTGTACAGAGATTGGGGAAAATCACGGGAAAGACTCACATTCCATGTACCAACAGATAAATATGTTAACAGGAAAGATGACACTTAACAGCACTGGATGTTTGATATCAAAGGATGGTGACTTATTAATGGGACATAGTAATATAATTAACAGATGGACAGAGTATATAGGGGAATTGTATGATGATAATAGACCAGACGTAGAACTGCAAAACAACAATGATGGTCCACCAATAATGACTGCAGAAGTTGAGGATGCAATACATCATATGAAGAAAGGAAAAGCACCCGGGCCAGACAACATCTCACTGGAAGAAATCGAAGCACTGGGAAATTTTGGAATTGAAATAATAACTAAACTTTTAAATGATATTTATAACAGTGGGTATATTCCAAATGACCTTTTAAAATCCATATTTATAGCTCTGCCGAAGAAACCAGGCACTTTAAAATGTGAAGACCATCGCACAATAAGTCTTATGAGTCACATGACTAAGATTTTACTGAGAATAATTATGAGAAGAATAAGAAACAAAATTAAACCAGAAATCAGCGATGAACAATGTGGATTTGTAGAAGGAAAAGGTACAAACAATGCCATATACATCCTAAGGATATTGTCAGAAAGAGCTATAGAAGTAAAGACTGACTTGTACTTATGCTTCATAGACTATACAAAAGCATTTGACTGTGTGAAGCATGAAGAAGTAATCAAACTGTGAGAAAAATTAAACATTGATGGGAAAGATCTAAGAATAATAAAGAATATGTATTGGCAGCAAACAGCAGCTATAAGAATTAACAACTGTTTAGGTACATTTCAAAGCATAAAGAGGGGCGTACGACAAGGATGTGTACTTTCACCTGATTTGTTTTCAATATACAGTGAATATATTATGAGATCTTTAATTGATATGCCCGGAATCGTGGTTGGTGGGCACAATATAAACAATTTGCGTTATGCTGATGACACATTCATGATAGCAACAAGTCAGAAAGAACTACAGGAAACGATAGACATTGTGGTGTTAGGAAGTGGAAGAATGGGCCTCAGTTTGAATAATAGAAAGACAGAAGTAATGGTGGTATCAAAGAAACGTATTATTCCTAAATGTTTAATAAAAGTCGATGGTGTTATATTTGGACAAGTACAGACATTTAAGTATCTGGGCACATGGATAACATCAGATGGAACATGCATAACTAAGATGAGAAATGGAATAGGACAGGCAAAAACTGCATTTTATAAAATAAAGAACATCGTATGCTCTATATTGCTATATCTTTGTCATAGACAGTTAGAAAAAGAAATCTTCCTTGCTACACACATCCAGTTTTAAGAATTTGGCAGTGAATCCTGGACAATCGGTAGGCAGGCCAAACAATTTTTTGAGGCCTCAGAGATGTGGTTTTCCAGAAGACTGCTTAGAATACCTTGGACAGACAAAAAGAGCAACCAAGAGGTTTTAAAAGAGGCGGGAGACCGAAGACAACTTATCACTGACATCAGAAGGAGACAGTCATCATTTTTCGGCCATGTTATGAGAAGAGGGAAAATAGAACATGCAACCACTGGAAAGATCTGTGGAAGGAGGGATAGAGGAAGACAACGGGAGAAGATTCTTAACTGTCTTGTTGCCTGGCATGGAGGTGTGTCGGCACACGAACTGATACATGCTGCAGGAGATCGCGGATTATGGAGAGGCATGATCGCCCACGCCAGTCGGCAAGGCACCTGATGATGATGATGATGATTTTAAATCATTCAGTGTCACTGTGAGGGTTCCAGGGCCCCATTGGGAGGAGGTGGAGGGACAAGAATAGATCCATGCCTCCCCCTCCCCCCTCCCCCGAAACAAAAACATGACGTAAGAGTCGACTAGTTGGGAGTTTCCTATGAAATCGAAGTGCATTTGCCCTAGCGGCAATGAACAACCAGCTGCACACAAATAAGCCAGTAAAACGGATGTACACACAAAACTCAGGCCCTGGCACAAAGCCAAAGTCCAAATGGAGAAACACCCAGGACTTTCCGTCCGAGCTTGCAGCCGGTAAAAAAAGAAGAAGAAAAAATTATTAATTCATTGCCCTTTCGTGTTAATGTATATCACACAGGGCTCGCAGTCTTTTCCTTCATTCCGTTCTGTCGTGTGCAATCACGTCGATATCAAGAAATGAATCCAGTTCAACACCGTTGCCTTCTCCCAACGTTCTCTTTATGGTTTCTCGTGCGCATCCTCGTACCTCAACCTCTACATTTTCATTTTAAAAGCCTGTTTGATGATTCGTGTCTCCTCACGATGCGTCAAATTTAGCGTCGTCTTCTTTATCTCATTACTGTTGATACACGAGATTGTCCAGATATTTCTCTCAGTTATCTTATTACTCTTAAATCCATCCTATTCACAATACATTTAACTTTCTTTTCATGTCTTTAGTAGTTCACCAACTTTTACTCGCATAAGCAAGAAGTGAAATCGCATTACAATTTTGAGGTCTTGAACAACGGATCAACAGAATGGCACACGGGTGTATCCCATAAGTGCTCCGTTCTTCTTCTAATGTAAGTCTGAGTCCGAAGAAGCTCAGTACAGGGCACAGGTTCTGCAGCACCGGCGAGGGTCCTGAAATACTTTGGGTAGATTTTTAACTCCAAATTTTGCCCGGGCAGCAACGTTATGCTACTCTTTTAGATTTCTAACTGCCTAGGGATTTTTTTACGTGCGAAACAATGCACACGGGCGTCCGAACTCACTACCCAAAGACCAGGGGAAATTACTAAAAGTCCGAGTCCACGTAAAAAAATCCCAGCTCTTACTTGGGACTGAACCCGTAACATCTAGCACTCGAGGCAGACACCATGCCTCAAGACCACGCATTACAAGTGAAGCTATGTAATTGAGTCTAAACTTTACATAGAGTTCCAAATGTTATGCAGGCGTTTAAAATCTGCTGATGCCTAGCCATTGCGCTCGTCACAATGTCTTTTCTTGACTATCAAGGTTACTGCAAACATAGGTAAATTATTCTCTTACTGTAAATCCTTCTGTCGTCAGTTTTGCATCTGCTTGACCTGTTATTTTTGTCTTCAATATAAATCTGTTCATAATTAATTTGTAGCCCAACCGTTGATGCTATTTGTGTGCTAAATCATCTGTTTTTCTGTGCATATCATTGCTGGCCTTACTTAGCAGAACAACGTGATTCGCAGTCTTCCACTTGCGTGTTCTCGACGAAATCCGTGTTTCCAAAACATTTTTGTTTCACCAGCCAGCCAATAGGGAGGCACCGTGGTCTAGCGTCTAGACTCTCGCCTGCGGTTCTGAAGGTCGTGGATTCGGGTCCTGACAGGGGCCGGATTTTTTCAAAAATGACCTTGGCTCCCAGGTCGACCCAGCCTTGAGTGGGTACCAGGTACAGTCCTAGAAGGTAAAGGCGGTCGGCGTGATGCTGACCACATCACCCACCAAGTGCCGTTTGGTCTATACAATATAGTCTAGCTCTATATACCCAGTGCGCCTGAAAGGTGTGGAAAACAAGTCTTTTACTTTATTTGTACCCAGTCAATAGCTACACCAAATAATGGGAGATAAAATGACGCTACTAGTAGCTCAATATTTTGAATTGTTTTGCCAAATTCAGCAAAATGTTTATTGATTTC